TTGGTTTTAAATTGCATGTAAAGAATACTACTTCCTTCTACATGATATTGTGAGATAAATTTTTAAGCAGCACTTATGGAATGGTTTACTTTCTGCTATATAATAAAACACCCCCACAAGGTGACATGGAAAAGCTAATGTATCTTGGTTCAAATGATATTCACAACAATCCGCTATGCTCTCTGCCTATAGCGTCATGGATGAAAATATTTGATGTAAATGGTGGGTGTATGAAATACTAATCATAGGTCTTCTTGCTTTCCTAAATCAATGGTCTCCAGTCTGCAGCAGAGGATCTCACTGTGGCTACATGCACCTCCTTTGCTGCCCATCTGATCACCCTCCCCAATAGCAACAGAATTAAAATGGAATCTGATATATTGTACCCAAAGCCCACTGGGACTCATCTTTATTTCCAAGAATATCTAATGATTACACATTGGGCCATAAATATTTTAAAAAAATAGATGTGCTCACCTGCCAAGAAAATAAAGGCAAAAAGATGGTGCTACAAAAGATGGTGAGGAACAAACTCACCTATTTATTTTCTAGGGGGAAAAATATGTGTTTAATTGAACACACATCTCTGCTGGCTATTTTCTGCCAGAAAATAGGCATGAACTCCCGAATTAGCAAATCGGTCCTAAATTTTTGAACATTGGAGATTCAAATTGCAGATTTCCCTGGCTCCTACCATGTTTCCCCAAAAATAAGACCGGGTCGTGTATTAATTTTTTGCTCCAGAAGACACATTGGGGCTTATTTTCTGATTAGGTCTTATTTTTGGGGAAATGTGGTACTAAATGCATCCATCTGGCTGACAATCTTTACTGGGGCTTATTTTGGGAGTAAGGCTTATATTACGAGCATCCTGAAAAATCATGCTAGGACTTATTTTCCGGTTGGGTCCTATTTTCAGGGAAACAGGGTATTCTTTCAAAAGCAACAATCAGTTAACCAAAATTTTCATCCAAACAGAATGGAAAAATAAAGTTAATATTTCCACTAAGAAACAGAGTTTGAAGTCTGAAAAAGCCATGATATAATCCAATTTTTGAATCCATCCAGTTCTCAGGAGACTTCATAAGATTAGCAAGGACTCCTTGCACAATCACTGCAAAGCAATTCTGCAGCTTCTCATCTCTTATTGTAACATGAAACTGACAGATGTTAAGCTAAAGGAAAAGCTTCTTAATCTGTAGTATTATACTTTGCTCTGTTAACTTTTGGAGAATAAACAGGCCTCAGGCTTTTGCCCTTAATTTAATCTTCCTTTGCTCAGAAATGAACAACTCTATCGAACAAGTTGAACACACAGTCCAGTCAAATCAAGTTAAGTTATTCAACTGTTGTGAATAAACAGGTTTGGTGTCAAAACAGTCAAAAATTTATAAAGAATAAAAAATCAACGAGCTTTCCAACTGGCTAAAGCATCTATATATTATGACCCCTCTGAATTTTTTGTACTATACATGCATACTTAGACATACCTGCCCTTGTACACAAGCATTTGGACACACATGCACACTCTGAAAGAAATTAATACACATAACTTTGTAACACAGGCCTATAGTGGATACCTCTTTTGTGTATTGCACATCACAATGAATTAAGAGCATCATTCTTCAAAGGTGTTAATCAGTATTAAATTTGTGTCCTGCTGTTCTATCACATAGTGTCCAAAGTAGCTAGCAATACAATATAATGAAATAAAAGAACAACAAACATAAGCTAAACAACATTAACAAGCAGGAAAGTTTTCAATAAACCTACCAATAAAAGACAGATACCAGTTATAAGCAATTATAATAAACTTAACATATCTACAGATCACTGGTATTTCAAAAAATGATTATATTGTATTTTTCCAGGTATCACCATACAGTATTCAGAGATTTTGGAGAAGAGACATAGTGAAAAACATCGAATCGAATCGAATAGAATAGAATAGAATAGCAGAGTTGGAAGGGACCTTAGAGGTCTTCTAGTCCAACCCCCTGCTCAAGCAGGAAACTATACTATTTCAGGCAAATGGTTGTCTAATCTCTTCTTAAAAACTACCAATGTTGGAGCATTCACAACTTCTGGAGGCAAGTGGTTCCACTGATTAATTATTCTGTCAGGAAATTTCTTCTTAGGTCTAGGTTGCTTCTCTCCTTGATCAGTTTCCACCCTTGCTTCTTGTTCTGCCCTCAGGTGCTTTGGAGAATCCATCTTCTTTGTGGAATCCCTGAGATAGTGGAATACTGCTTTCGTGTCATCCCCCCCCCCAGTCCTTCTTTTCATTAAACTAGACATACCCGATTTCAGCAACCATTCTTTATATTTTTGTTGAAGAGTACTGGACCTAAAACAGAGCTTTGGTGTACCCCACTGCATACTTTCCTCCATGTAGATTCAGTTCCATTGAGGACCACATGTTGAGTGCAGTTGGTCAGCCAGGTGGTGATGTTGTCTAACCCACATTTTTCTATCTTATCAAGTAGTAGGTTGTGGTCTACTTTATCAAATGCCTTACTGAAGTCCATATAATTATATCCACAGCATTCCTTTGGTCCACTAATTTTGTCACTTTATCAAAGAATGCAATAAAATTTGTCTGGCATGATCTGTTTTTGACAAACCTATGTTGGCTTTTGGTTATGACTTTGTTTGCCTCTAGGTCAGGGCTGTCAAACTTGTGGCCTGTAGGCCTGATGCGTCACGTGCTGGCCACGCCCACGCCTGGTTTAGCGAAGGAGAAAAAAGTTGTGATACGTCATGTGATGATGCTGTGACAACGTAAATTTGACACCCCTGCTCTAGGTGTTTGCGGATTGTTGCTTGATTATCTTTTCCAGAATCTTCCCATGTATTGAGATCAGGCTTATAGGTTTGTAGTTTCCTGGATCTATTATTTTTTCCTTTTTTGAAGATGGGAACTACATCAGCTCTTTTCCAGTCCTCTGGTAGTTCCCCAGTGCTCCAGGACTTTGAAAGACATAGTTCAATGGTTCTGAGATCATATGAGAACCTTAAGGGGTAATCCATCTGGTTCTGGTGATTTCAATTCATCTAGGGTGAATAGGTGCTCACTTACCATTTTCTTGCCTATTTTAACTTGTGTTTCTAATCTGTTTTTTACAGTACTGTTTTTTAAAAGGTTGGACTATTTTTTCCCTTTGTGTAAAGACAGATGCAAAAAATGAGTTAAGTAGTCCTGCTTTCTCCCTGTTGCTTGTCACCTTCTTGCTACTTCTTACCACTAATGGACCAATCATTTCCTTGAGGTTTTTCTTGTTTTTTACATGTTGAAAGAAGTTTTTTCTGGGTTATTTTTTTACTTTTGTCATAAGTCTTAGTTTATTTTGAGCCTTAGCTTTTCTCACTTTATCTTTGCAGGCTCAAGCTATTTGTTGATATTCTACCTTAGTTATGTGGCTCTCTTTCCACTTTTTATACTTGTCCTTTTTGTCTTTCAATTTATGAGAGAGTTCTTTATGCAGCCATGCTGGTTTCCTTTGAGAGCTGTTATTTTTCTTCTTTGTCTGTACGAGAGGGTAAAAAAAGATCACAATGGTTGACTAAGACTATGCAACTGAAACTCAGCATGAGCAACACATATAAAAAAATGGACGGGGTTGCAGTTATATAGTTGTAACTGCCATCCTGACTTTTTTAAATTCATCATCCCTCCCCTCCCCCTCCCCAAGTGTTCCTCCTTTAATGCAACCTTCAATCTTCCATCTGCCTTCAAGTATTCTTCCAGGCCTGTTCTCTTGAACCAGTTTCTCAAGGGCACTACCAATCTTGGGAAGCTGGGAGGAATCCAATTCCATTATGTGCTCAATGATTCTCTGCAGAAATACAGAAGCAATTGTTTTGCAAAATAAAAGAAACTCCCCTCGGCATGTGCTCAAAGGAAACCAGCTCCAGAAATTAATTTTCTTTAAAATCAAACCAGCATCTGTGAGACAAAAGCATTTTATCCAAATAGATTATTTTTTCTTCTCAGTTTTTTTATAAAGCAATTTTTAAATCTTCCCAAAAAACAAATCAAAGCTGCTAATTCCAGCTGGCTATTTTTTTAATTGTTGTAATTAGGACATTATAGTAGTTTTGAACTATCATTGTAGATGGCTTTGTGAACTGCATTGAGGGTACTTGCTCAGCTATTAGGGAATGGCTGTTGGTATTTCCATCAGGTTCGGTGTTGTTTGCAGAGCACACACTTCCACAGCCCTAGATGATTTAGGCACAGTAGTCCAATGGTTGAGAAGCTTCTATTTATTCCTGCTTTCCCCCCTCCCCCAGCAGAAGAATAATATGTACTTGAATAAACTAGGCTGAGCTTGCACCAACAAATTTGAGTATTCGGCTTCCCATCAGGCATTTAGAACGACAGGTTGCACTCTAACTGGGGTGTCTAATTGAAACGCAAGGAGCAAAGTAGTTTTGCAACACAAACATGGACAGATTGGTGCCTGGATGTTGGGACACAGCCATGGCTCATCTGAGGAGACAGTTGTCTCTGCTCTTCAGGCTGCTTTATAAAACCTTCATTTACAGACTAAAACATACTGATTCATTGATGCAACACTTCCAATTTCTACATCTTCTTTCATGCGGCACATTTCAAAATATAGCCATTGTAAAGGGCTTATCCAAAGTGACCATTTCACTCCAATATTACCAAGTATGTGTTCCTCTGCCAGGTGTCATTATCAGCTGGATTTTTTATACTCAAAGTATTAGGCTTTGGTAGAAATGAAATGACAGAAATGATGATGATCCAATAGTTTTCTCAGTATGGAATTCATAATTTTTTTTTTACCTCATGATAAACCATGACCTTATGACTCCCTAGGTCCCTAGACTCCCAAATAATACTGTCATTGTGTACTTAAAAATGGTTTATTATTAAACTACTTTTGCTGTGTTCACACAATACTCTTAACTGTAAACCATGATTAACAAATCCCACTTTCTGGGTTCCCAAAATGCATTAAGGAAAAACCCACCTGTTTCACTTGCATCTCCCTCTCCCCAACTGGTTGCCCTCCAAACTGTACATCTTGAAGCATGTGGTTTGATTGAAGACCAATAGCCATGCTGGCTGAGGAGTATGGGAATTATAATCCAGTACACCTGGACAGCAAGCAGATGGAGAAAGATGGTCAAAAGTAAGTAACAATAACTTCCCAGAGTTTTAGACATAGAATCTTTCCTAACTATACTCAGATATTCAGAGAATTGACTCTTTTTGCATGCAACTCCATGTAGTTATACTACATTGATTGAGTTATTGGATCTGTGGAACTAAATCTCCTTTGGCATTTCCCATGCGTAACTGCATAGTTCAATGTGTATGTCCACTATTATTAGCTCTAAACTTTGAAATATACACTCTGTTTAATCTTGAAAAAAATTGCTTTCCACAGTCTGTAGAATAAGCCATTTCAGGATTCTGTAGAATGAGAGGCAATATTTTCAGCATGACTAAAAAAACATTTCTTTAGACATATGGAAGGTAATTTTTAAAAATCCTCTGTTTTGAGGGATCTTTTTAAAGCATCATAAAATATTCAGAAATCTTACCCCAGTCTTTGGGCATGCCTACTTTTCACAGAGCCCCTTTGATATTGTAAGGCAAATAGGGCCTCCACCAATGTGTTGATATGTACTCTTCCCCAAATATATTCTTGTCTGCTTCTGCTGGGAATTGCAACCAGTCAACCAGCCACTCCTCCCCCAGCAAATCAGTCCATTACCTCCTCTATTCCATGTGTTCCATTTTTTCTTTCTGGTACTTAATATTCTGGCACTATCAAACAATCACAGCCTTATATGAGTTTAAAGCTGTGGAATCTAAAAGCATCCTGCACCACTACCCAACCTAAGATTTAATTTGTGAAGATCTGGCAAGCTGAATGGCATTTGAAGGACATGTAATCTTGCCATGACAACGGGTTTTAAAAAGTGCTCCTAGCATCCTGCCCAAAGGCAAAATAGAGACATCTTCAAAGAGAATCCTTGGCAAATGGAAATAATTGGAGTGTACAGATTAGTTGTTAGCACATTTGCCGTGGTTCATGGGAAGGGAGAAAGGAATCAAGTAATAAAAAGCAAAGGAGCTTGTCAAATCACTTCATGTCAGGTCAGCTTGTAATAAGGTCTCCTTCATCTGTGACTTATTAGTGGATGAGATGATTAACTTGGCACAGAGAGATCATATGGGAGGGCTGTTACTGTACCTGTATCCTCAAGCACTTCAACTTTACTACCTGAGGTGCTTGATGCTGCGGTCAAGTTGGCAGTAGAGTTCCTCAGACTGGAGATGTGAAGGGTCTGAAGAACAAGCTTCAACTTATCCTAGTGTGTTTTAAAGCTTTCTGGATTTGGGAAATTTTCATCTTTAGTTCTGGATGGAGTAGCACTCCCTTAAGACAGGGGTTCCTCTTAGCTCCTGCAGCTAAAGTTAAAGCCAAGAGAGCCTTTGTACAAATCCATCCTGTGCTTTAGTTGCATATATTACTGGATCAGGAGGATCTAACTCACAGTCTTGGTCACTTCTTGTTGCACTATTGTGTTGTGCTCCACAGAGCTGCCTTTGAAGACCACCCAGAAGCTGCAACTGATTTAAAATGAACCATAATATGCCCATGTAACATCACAGCACTGTGAACCTCACTGGCTTCCAGTAGGCTTCCAATTCAAATTTCTGTTACAACCTACAAAGTCCTGCATGGCACATTTGTGGGACCACTTGTCTCCGATAATCTCTGCCCATTCCATGAGATGTAGCTGTGTGGTCTGGGTCTCTTTTATAAAACAGTGTTATCTGGTAGGACCCAGTAAGTGTGCCTGGTCTGTTGCAACATCTGCTGTTTGGAACAGCATAGACCCTGAGACTAGATAGCATTTACCCCGATGGCCTTCTGTAAGAACTTGACGAATGACTTTTCTTATGGACGTTGTACAGTATGAGCCTGTCTATAGTGGAAAACTGAATGATTGTGAGATGACCTCAGTCATGCTATGTGCTTTTTATGTTATTTTTATCTTACTGTTCTGTGCTTTTGATTTTAATCAAAGATTAGTCATATACCATTGCAATTGTGAATTGAAGAAGAAGGAAGGAAGGAAGGACAACCGTTTTCTCAAATGTAAAGTAATTCCTCAGAATGTTCACCAAACCCACTGCAATAAAACTGGTAATACTCCTAGAGTCCACTACTCAAATGTAGCCCTTTCCTCTGAAGATGGATTAGATGGATGTGTACTTTTTGGTTAATTTTATTGCTTTTAAACTAACAACTGAAAGAAAAAAGGAAAAAAATTAAATGCAAAACTTGAACAACTTTATCATTTTTCCTGTCCACTTCTGAAAATTGCTCAAGATTAAGCTTCATACCTATTTTTCCATAGTTCTAATAGGGCTCTTCAACATGTATAGCTACATAACAATGGGTTCCTACCAATGCTTCAGTGCATTAGCACCAAGCAAAAAAATTGATTTTTTTCAAAAGTTCAGCTAAGGTTTAGGTTTTAATAATACTCAGGAACTCATTTTTAACTTACACTTATATAATTTATGATTGCCTATTCCTTCAATAAAGATGGATTCAGCAAGGTAGAATTACTTCTGCCATTTAAAGATGCCACTCTTTTGGCTCCTTTTTGACAGGAAACTACCGGTACTGAGGAGATGCTTGGTGGTTTCAAATAATAATGTACTTTATGCTTGAATGATAATTAAAAAAAAATCCTCAGAAAAGATATGTTTCTGATTCCTGTGCTTACTTCTGTTTTGGGGCTTTGCTGAATTTAAATCTTCCATTCTACAAAGCAGTTTTTAAAATGTGCTGCGAGACAATCCATTTCTATTTGGTTGCTATTCTCCTGAGAACAACTTGGGCTGAAAATTGCTCTAAGACAAATTACATGAAGTGAAGAGAAATTTAAAAGCATTTAGGAACTTCTACAGTAAATATAATAAAAGTAAAGATTATTAACCATGAACTTTTTATGCTGTTTACAGCTAGAAAGACACAATTGAGGCTTTTACTGGAATTATTCATGGTAGAATGACAGCAAGCCAGGTGAAGAATAGAGCGATGATAGTCTTTCATAATTACAAATCAAATATTTCCTCACAGAAATTCCATTCCATCACCTTCATGACAAAGTGGCTATTTAGTAGCTATCATAATTCTAACAAACAAATAGATATTTACTTTAAAAAATAGGGTTGAGGTTGAAAAAAATTCCAGAGAAAAGTATCATCTGTTAGAGATGGGAATATATATCCTGTGCTGCCTTTGTCTCCAAGGTTTCCCCTTAGAGCAATGCTTTTCAAACTTGGCAATTTTAAGATATCTAAACTTTAATTCCCAGAAATCCCCAGCCAGCACTGGTAGGAAATTCTGAGAGTTGAAATCCACACATCTTAAAGTTGCCAAGTTTGAAAAACATACCTTAGATAAAGATGACTTAATGAACTCTGAAGAGAATAACGGAACAACTCATTTTCCATCCACACAAAGTACACTGTTAACTTTGGATGTCCATTTAAAAAAGGATGCTTTTTCTTGCCATGCAACAGTGATTCTTATCCATTGCTTTGTACATTTGACAGGAGTGATTTTTAAGATGTGTTTAACCAAAGCTGGAGAGGTATTGAACTAAGGAAATACACTTTATTTTGGAAAAAACTATGTGTCAGAACTACAGCTCAAAGGATCTTGTTTCACCACTTGCTTCCCTTTGAAAAGGGGAACTGAAGAAACTTCTTTGATGAGAAGTGAAACATCTTCAGGGAAAAACAAAGAAAGTCCAGTTGCCTTTTGAAAAAACACCTTTGGGACAACCATGATCTGGATGACTGAGAATCTCCACAGACGTTTCCCTTTGAAAACCTAAACCTATGTTCTCATGAAAACTGAGACAGGAACATTGAAATATTTAAAAGCATCATGTCCATAAGTGAGACTGCATATCTTGGAATGGGAATCATTCATCTAAAATGAGCAAATATAGTAAATCATGAATAGGCTATTTAAACTGGCATGGAATAAAACTTCAATCCAGTTCAAAAACAAATATGCCTGCCTTCCAAAGGGTGATCCAATTTCAGATTCTAGCCCACACAGAAAGCCCTGCTACCAGAGCTTCTTCAACATCAGAGGAAGAAAACAACATGTTGTAGGGAAACTATGGAAAATTTAAAACAGTGGCCCCCAACCTTTCTGGCTTGGCAGCCCAGCTGGGAGGGGAGGGGATGGTTCTATATGAGCAGTAGGCACAGGCACGCACACTCAAGGAGCTCCATTTGCATGTGTGATGGGCGCGCACACCCACTGCTCACACAAATGGAGCTTTCAAGCAAGTGGACCTGCACATATGGTCACTCACCGTTTGCACAACCTGGTTCAGAACAGGCCATGGCCCACTAGTGGGGCGTAGCCTGGGGGTTGGGGACCCCTGATTTAGAAAATCTTGGTTAGCTGTTCCTATAGCTGAAGAGTCAATTAACCACCCAGAGTTGCTGGCAATCACGTATAAGTTTAATTCATTGTTGTTGTTATTTAGATGGAAGACACCAACAAGGGAATATTATGACCCACCATTCCTGACCCTAGGGCTTATGAATACATAAGAATATCACTTCTGTGTGAAGAGGAAGGAGGCGATGAAGGAGATCTACTCAGGATCAGACTGAGAACAAAAATCAAGATCAATCAATGTTAACTGCATGGAAAAGACTGGAACTTCCTGCATCCTAGATCGCATGTAAATACATCTTGGAATTGAACAACTTTGACTATGTGCTGTGACTGGCTCTTGCTATATCTACTACTTACCATGAAGCTGTCTTAAAACTGTAGATCTTTGTTTGACTTTGATGACAAAAAAAGCTTTGCTATATAAACTTTAGCATCTTATAGGAACACCATTCCCTTTGTAGTTAGACTGTATTAAAATTATGCCACTGCTTGCTGGTTTATGACCTGTTTGTAAACTGATTCTAACCTGTAGAATTGGTATAGCATCCTGGGTCTACAGAACCCTTCGTACATGAGGGAAGGAGGATACCTACAGTGGGTCAGATGGAAGGGAAAGAGAAAGCAGAGTAGGAACTATAATCT